TGTCCTCGGCCATCTGAGCCACTGGGAGCCGACCACAGCCTTCACAGAGCTGAAGGGACCTGGCTGGGCCCGTGTGAGACTCTATCCCCTGCACCCTGCCCACAGCAGATCCCGTCCAGGAGAAGGAGGGGGGCAAACTGCTGCGAGGTGGCCCACAACACTCACCACAACGCTGGCTATGAAGGCCCACATAGCCACTCAATGGCTGAGTGAGGCCAATGTTAACATCTGAAGCGGTGGAGTCAGGAGGTCTGTGGGTCCAGCATCCTCATTACAACAGTACAGAGGAGGAAACTGAGGCAAACAGGTACCTGCAACCTCACCAGCCCGGCTGGTGGGCCCTCAGGACACAGGGGGAGGGAGATCTTGTCCTACAATCCTATCTACACTTCCCCCTAGTCCTGCAGCCCAGGCCCCAGCACTATACACAGAGCAGGCTCCTCCTGCTCCTGAGCACCCTGGGTCTGCTTCACCTGTGCCTCTGCCTCGAGTGGGTGCCATGCATCTTTTACCACCATCATCATCTCGTGGCCCAAGAGGCCAGGTTAAGGGAGGACAGTCTGCCTGCAGACAAGTCACTACAGAGAAAACCCCGTGAGCTTCTGGGTCTCAGGGACACACAGGCCTGGCCCAGCCCCAGGTGACCTAACGCCGGGCCACTGCTGTCCCTCTCTGAGGTGACAACAGGTTCCAAGAAGCAAATGGTCTTTAAACCCGCCCCCCCATAAATGTTTAAAACAGTGCATTTCTTTGCACATTTTTAAGTTGACATCTAAAATTTCTCATCATAAGTTTAAATACTTGCAGAGGATGTAATTTCCAACATACTATAAATATTAACATTTTAAAATAAAACTGTTACTATTTCCCTTTTAAACAGATCCAATGGAATCTAAATACCACAGTGATGTGAGATCCACCATCATCCATTTCAAAGTTATATAACCAAGCTCTTCTTTGACAGCTGGAAATCTAACAATGTTCCTTTTCTTCCTTGGATTCTAATTTCCAATTCACTTTCTTCAGACATGTTTATACTACCACAGTGTATTTTATGTTGAAACCCCTCTCACTGACTCTTCCATTAAGGATAAACAGATATGGATATAGATACAAAAATGTTTCTGTTTAAAATTTTTTTCCTGACCTAAAGCTCTTTAAGTCAAAATTTTCTTCTGAACTGAATTATTACTACAATTACTATTAACCTTAGTACATAACAGACCAACACGACAGAAACATCCAAAACTGTACAAATTATAGGCATAAAAAAGTAACTTTACTAGAAATACAATGCTAAAGAGATGAGAGGGCCTTTCTTAAAAGTTATTTCATGTATTTATAGATGGATGTTACCTACTGCTAGAATAAGACAAGACTTATCAACTCTTATCTCCATTCTCAGTTTTTATAGACACAGTGTTAAAATCACCTACTTGGGGGCCGGGGATTTAGCTCAGTGGTTTCGCCGCCTGCCTCGCAAGTGCAAGGACCTAAGATGAATCCCCCAGTACCAAAAAAAAAAAAAATCACCTACTTAAAAACTACAAAGATTGAATGGAAAAAGATTTGCCATGGCAAATTCTTTCGATTCCTTTGGAATTATATGCCAAGAATTACAGTAATCTCTTATCAAAAAATCTTTTTTTATTCTGTAGTGCTAGGGATCACCTAGGGCTTTATGCGTGCTAGGCAAGTGCTACACTACTGAGCTAAACTCCAGCCGTCAAAAATCATTTCTAACATGACATCAGTTGACAACTTGATCAGGTTGTCTTTCAGTTGTGGTGCAAGCACAGAAGCAGAAATAGCTCCCTGGCTCAGGATTACGAGGACCGGCCACCTTCTCTAACACCTGGAGGGCCCCGTGCCCTGTGGTCCACACAGAGGTTCAGGTCTCCTGTGGACAGTGACAGGGTATGGTTCTGCAGATCACCAGCCTCCATGTGCCCGGCTTGGGCCAACTCCATTACCTGAATTAACTCAGTCTTCACAACAATCCTGGGGGAACAGCCACTACAACAGTGCCCATTTTACAAGTGGGCAGGCTGACATGCAGAGTGCTTAGACACAGCTGGCACATCATCACACAGCCAGGGACCTGAACCCAGGTGGTCCTTTGCATCACTGTGCACATTGTCCATACGAGGAACAACATGGAAGGGGCAGCTGGGGAGACAGGAAGGAGAGTGTACAGCTCCTTCCCCAGCATACCAGCTGTGGAGACAGACCAGCACACGAGGAAGCGGAGGACCTGCAAATTTCACTTTCTTAAATATGCTCCTGCCTCCATCTGGAAAAGTTTACACACAAATGCTCCTCTACAGTAAATGGTGTCAATGTGTGGTACAGGTACATGGCAGACCCCATAAATGTTAACAATGGTACTGCTACTATTCCACAGCAGGAAGAAAAATGACTCCCGTGACCTGGACAAACACCACAGGATCAACGAGGCTTTCACAGTCTTGGGTCTTAAGCCGGGGCCACAACATCTGTTTAGTTAGTAGCAAAAGGCCAGTAATGCTAGGCAGGGAGGGCTGTAGCCAACAGCATGCCTACCCACACGGCAGCCCGACACTGCAGACCCACCCTCAACTCTCAACTCGCCCACTGACCAGCAGGCCTGCTCACATCATGCTAAGCCCATTTCCACATCTTCAGGCAGGATACACCTTCACCCACATCCCCGGGGGCTGTACAGAATGGGACGGGGTATGTGACGAAGGAGGGCTAGGGGTGGCTGTGCATGGTCAGCTTGCCCTTACACTCACAAACGTCTGAACCCAGTGACTGGCAAAGCACCCAACTCCAGCTTCCAGGGGCCACAGCCTGGGATCTGGCACTCAGAAGCCCGGGTGATTTTAAAAAAGCAGCCAAGTGGTTTGGCCTCCGATTTTCACAAAGAGCCTTTCTCCATGTCTTAAAATGTAAAAGTTCTCCAAAGGATGAGGGATGCCAGGAGGAGGTGCATGAAGAGGCATCATGATGGGCTTTATTTTTAGATGCTGGGGTGGAAAGCATCCAGTTTGGCATCACTCCGGTCCCCAGACAACATTTCCGCCCCCCAGCAATCATCAAAATGAACAGCAGAAACAGCTCAAAAGATTTGAGTTCTGCACGGCACGCTGTAAACAAGGGCTCCTGTCCCTGACTCCACCCTGACTGAACCAAGCTTTCGACCCCCTGGCTGCCCTCCTGTGTTCCAGTGTGGAATCAGTTTGAGGGAAGAGTGCCTCTTTCTCAGTCTTGCAGGGTGTCTGCTATGCACATAGGAACACACATCCTCAGAAACGGATCCCAGGAGCAGTTCCTGGGGACCCTCACCAGTGGCTGCAGCAGACTGCAAGGAAGCTGTGATTTCACACACACACAGTGAGCACCAACTCCCAGCCAAGGGCTTGCCAGCCAGTAATTGGCTTCTGCAAAGAATGAGGATTTCCAAGGCAACCACTGAAACTATTGCCCCAGCATCCTGCAGTGGAAGTGGCCTGAGAGATCACCAATCCTGCAGTGAACCTGCACTCCCTGGGCCCTTGGCAGCCCTGATTCTCATTCAATCACAGAATCCCCCAGATAGCCACAACCAAACTGCCTGGGAGTGCCCTGGAAGCACCCTTCTTAGCCATTCCTCAGGCCCAACTGTCCCCAGTGGATGGGTGGAGAAATCAAGCTCCATAGAAAAGGTCAGTGCAGGTCATGCAACTCTGCAGAGCCAAGAAGAACCCCAAAAGAAACCTCAGCCCCTGGTGACAAGTTCAACCCTCAAACCACCAGCAAGAAGCCACAAGGAAGGATCCAGCAACGGCTCCCCAGAGGTACCTCCCCACCCCACCACCACCCCACTCTGGTGCTCTGGTCCTGAGAGCACTGCAGCAGGCTTTCTGGAAACCACCTCAGATGCTTGTCAGAAGGCTTCTCGTCGGCCCTGATCTGGTCCCCAGCAGCTGCAGGCAGATGCACCCTGGAAGGGACAGTGAGGGCGACAGCCCATGGGACTCACTGCAAACTCACGAGGTACCAGGCCAGCTTTGGCGGAGACGACACAGCCTGCCCCTCATTGGTCTCAGCGTATTTCTGTGTTTACATGGAGAAAACTGCTCCCCATTCCATCCTTCGCCAGTCCTAACTACAGGGACAAATGAAACGTGCCAGCTAGGAGGCTCCCAGGCGTCCCCTCACTCCAGGCTCCTCCCTGAGACCGAATCTCCCAGCTCTCCTGAGATGGCTGCTACCCTGTATAGCTAATTCAGGGTCAGAGGGCCAGCTTCATGCCCTGGGAGAGTTCTTCATCCATCCCTCCTTCCTTCCTTCCTTCCTGCTCCCTCCCTCCCTCCATCCATCCTTTCTCCTGCCACCCACCCTTCCCCCGATCCATCCATCCTTCCTTCCTTCTCCCCCTTCCTCTACCTCCCACCTCATCCCTCTTTCTCCTTTCCTCCATCCATCCTTCCTTCTTTATCTCTCCATCTATTCATCGATCTCTCCTTCCTTCCTCTCCTTCCATCTATCATTCTTTATTCCTCCATCCATCCATCTTCCTTCTTCCATCCACCCAGCTTCCTTCCTTCTCCTTCCTCGCTCCCTCTCTCCATTCTTTCTTCTTCTTCTAGCCACCTACCATTCCTTCTCCAGCCCACGAGCCCCTGACCCAAGCCCATCCAGGGGACAGAATGAGAAGAGAAACCTTTCTGAGTGGCCACTGTCCCTTCACCCGTCCTGCCCCAAACCCAAGCACTACCATGCCCCCTCCACTCCCAAACTACTCCCGTCTAGCCTCCTTCTCTGACAAAAACCATCCTAAATCTCCACAACCAAGCAGCCAGCAGCCTGAGTCTGTGCTCAGCCTGGGGCAGAAACTGCATCAACTCCTGAGGGAAAGTCACAAACCAGAAGCATACAAAGGGCCACGCGTCCGTCCAGACACTCAAGGCGATGGGGAAGCTCACACTGGGAGGTCTCTCTACTTGGAAAATGGTGGAAATGGGGTCTCTACTCACCTGGACGACCTCTATGCCTCGTTTCCTATGGAGAAAAACAAAGAAAACGAGCGTTACTCCAGCACGCAGGAAGCATGCCTTCCAAAATGTTCACTATGGCTGAAGCAGGCAGGATGGGGCAGGAAGCTGCGGGAAGAGGGCCTGCAGTCGGGCTCTCACGCCAGCCCCACAGTGGTCTTGTTGTTGAGCACCAGGTTTCCAAGCACCCAGGCCCCACCACAACCACACATAGCCTAAAAGAGGGTTGGCTCCCGAGGACATGGCTGCCGTCCTATGACAGGGACAGCAGCTGTCTCCCTGGGACCTGGGCCCAGGCCTTCCTGGTGGAGTTCAGATCGCCTGCCATTCTCCCCACCAGCAAGTGCACCACCAAGGCCTGCATCCTTGCTCAGCTCAACCACTGCCCATGGCTCCCCACACCTCACCACCACAGGCAGACACGGTGGCCTGGCCTCTCTACTCTCACCGCCAGGAAGCCACTTCCTCCCAGTCCTGCACCAGCTGGTTCATCCATCTTGGCCATCTTTGGTCCCCACTGACTCTCTGCCCATCCCTTAGCCCCTGGTTCACCTACAACCTGACTGGCCTGAACTTTATATCCTCCACCTATCTCTCCCTCTGTTAGTCGCACAACCACTAACGGTCCATGCCTGTGCCTGACTCACCCTCACCTGATTTAAGAGCCTGGGGCACAGGTCTGGGTGTGGATCTGCCCAGGGCACACAAAGGCTCCTGCTGGCGAACCGCCTTCATCTCCCCGCCACATTTCCTACCACAAGCTCCAGCTAGGGCCCATCTCAGTGTGGCCCACCATTCAGGGATGTCTCATCCTTGGCCTGGGCGTACACTTTCACCCCAGCCCTTTAGGCCTCGGCTCTGGTAGACTCTCCCAGGAAGCCTCCCCTGGCCCAAAGCACCTTCCTCACCCACCCACACAGCACTCCCCGAAAACTTGGGCTCCTGCTCCCTTTGTTCGAGCATAGACTGCTGCCATCCAGGAAGCACGCTGGGGTAAGGATGAGACAGAGGCAGGTGGGGTGTGTGGGTGTGTGGGTGTGGGTGTGTGTGTGGGTGTGTGTGTGTTGCAGTACTGGGGTTTGAACCCAGGGCCCTTACACTGAATTATATTCCCAGTTCTTTTCTATTTTTTAATTCTGAGACAAGATCTCACTAAGTCACTAAATTGGCCAGGCTGTGCTGAAATTTATGATCCTACTGTCCCAGCCTCCCAGAGTGCTGGGATTACAGACACACATGCCACCACAGCTGGCTGTGCTGTGCACATTTTGCTGAGGAGGACCTCTGGTAGATGCTCAAAAAAGGATGGCCAAATTCAAAACTGTATACCCACCCAGCACAGACACTTATAAACCCTTGCTGGTAATGAAGGTGGACATACAGAAAGATGTGGCCTGGCCTGGCCTAGCACGCTAAGGATACAGCAAATGTACCAGGCAATCTGGGACCTTGAAGAGCTTATGGCCTCAGGGAGGAGACAGGTACAAAGGAAACCTCCAGGCAGTCATGAGCAGGTACCACATACCACCCTCAAGGCTGAGGTGCCACCTACCACTTCCTACACCCGGGCACTACTTCCTCTCAGCAAATGACAAGCACCTGCTGGGGACTGCTCCTGTACTGGGAACTTCTGCAGAGCAAAGGTACTGGCAATCCTGGAGACCTGAGGAGTAAGCTCTGAAATCCTGCCATAACCAAGAAATTCAGAAAGATAATCACAAAACCAAAAGGGGAAAAGGAATGGACATGGCGGGCATGGAGGAGGGGAGAGAAACTAGACAGCTGGTTGCCAAGCGGTCAGCTATCCCTCCTGGAAACCCCAACTCCACCACCCCACCTCCTCACACCAGACACAGGCTCCAATATGCAAAATGCTTCAGGCTCTGGGGTGTCAGCCGCCAAGGTGTCTGTGATTGCAAAAGCCTGGCAGCAAACTACAAGTCCCCAAGAAGCACCACCACTAACAAACCACAAGCCATCAAAGGAATAGCATGAAGCAGTAAGAAAGAAAAAGGAAGCTCTCTGCTTGCTGGTAAGGAATTATCTTCAAGACCTTACCATATGAAAAGTACAAGTACAAAACCCTCTATTTTGTATACAACGATTTGTGTTAAGAACAACATCCAAAGCAAGAATATGTGCTTATGTATACACAGAATGAATGTGAAAGTGCTACAAGAAAATGACCACAGCCTGGCCGCTGCTCAAGGGCAGAGGTAACTGGGGACTAGAGCGAGAAGGAGATTCCTTTTCACTGTGTTTCTGAATGCTGTGCCAGGTGTAGTTTCAAATACTAGAAAGATACATTTTAAATAATTTTCTAGACAATAAATAAGCAACACTCTAGCTGTTGGCTTTTCCAGTGCTGACACAAAGAGGATGCCTGATAAAAACACAAATCAAGTGATGGATGAAACAAAGCAGAAGAGAACTCAGGGTTTACCAAGAAAATCTCCCAAGTTCTACTCAAAGAGGAGCTGAAATAACACACGCTCGGGGGCCACAAGACTGCCATGCTGGAGACTGAGTCCACACTTGAACTCAGACTAGAAGGCACACACTGACTGCAGTGTTAACTGTTGCTGCAGCTAAGTGCTGTGTGGGGCTATTTTTCTTCAGTATCCTCTGGTATTTTCTGTGTTTTCTACAGCAAGCATACACACACTATTTCCAACGCTACAGAAAAAGTAACAACAAAAAGCTAATGTTTCATAATTTTTAAATATTTTATTTAAAATCTGTACCTGGAGACAATGCTGGTAAGACTCTGAACCCCATTTTCTTCAAACAGACTGCATTACTAAGTGTGGGGCAGAGGTCTAGCCCACAACGCATAAACTCGCTTTTCCAAAGCAGGATCCCCAATTAAGGGGGGGTCCTTTGCAAAAGGACTCCTGGTCCCCGGAAGTCCAAAGAGAGTACACCCTCAAGGAGTTTAAAGTGTGGAATGACCCTTCCTTTCAGGGGAAGAGGGATCAAAATCAGAAAAGAGGTAGCATTTGCCACCTGAGTGGGCAACAGAAGGGTTAACTAAGACAGGAATTGGGGACACTGGTTAAAGAAGAAAAACAGGGAAAGTAGCCTCCCAGAAGGTGTCAGGGCCACACCCCAATGGCTGAAACTGCAAAGCCCAGCCTTTACCCATGGACCAATGCTCCCAAACAACGGGCAGATGACCCAAGAATCACTATAGGAGCTCATCAAAACTATCAATACGAGGTCTACTCCCAAGGATTCTGATTCAGGAGGTCTGGGCAGGGTCTGGGAGGTTTCTCACAGCTCGGATACCAGGCAGGGAAACAGCTGCTCATCCACAAGGGGCAACTCTGCACCCTTGACTTTGATGTGCAAACTTGGCTTTTGCTGTGCAGGATTGATTTGCTGCGGGAGGATATGCGCTCAGAAGCAGCCGACCAGGTCTCCAACGAGTAAAGGAGACAAAAGAACTAGAAATAGCTGTGGTGCTTAGAGTAGAGCAGGCTGAGGCAGCACATCAGGACACTGCAGGGAGATGGCAGCAGTTCACTTTCCAACCCTGCTGGTACCAGGCAGTGGTCAGAAGCCCAGGACTCATTTTAGCAGACAGTTCTCGATGCAACATGAGAGGCAGGAGGAAGTGGAGGAGGGAGAGAGCCCCCAACAGAACATGGGACCAGCCCCAACTGCACCTGGAGCCCCAGTTTTCCATGTCACATGAGGAGAGCCCTAGCACCTGTCCAGGAGGGCTCTGGAGGAAGAGGAGTCCAGGCCCAGCACACCACCTGGCTACACTGGGGACATGGGCATGGTTACCTTTACCTGCTACCCTGTTTTGGGGAAATGCCCCTCCACTATCCCACGGGACTCACAAGGGCCACGCTCCCACTCCCATCACACCTGGCTGCAGGTTTGGCGTGGTATCCTCCCAGGCCAGGCCAGTCCTGATCCTCCTCAGGACAGGTCCTGGGGAGCTATCATCACATATGGCTCTGCTGGGAAACATCGGATGATACTGTTCCTCTGAACGCCCAGAATCTGGACTAGACAGAAGCCAGCCCAGGAGGAGAGGCCTGTGGAAGCAGAGGAAGGGCCTCGCTCCCCTGCTGGAGGGTAAGGCTCCAGCCCAGTCCACAGCCAGTCCTCTCCGCACCTGCACCTGTGGATCTCCCCATAAGCCAGTTTAGGCTGAGTTTCTGCCTCACTGAGTGACAGCACATCCTGAAGATGACAGAAATTATCCTGGATGACCTGGCTCTAAGGCAGAGATGATAAAGGAGGCTGGGCAGACCACAAGGGGAAGTAGAAGAGAGCAACGCAGATTTCAGATAGGTGCCCACGGAGTCCACATAAGGCCTGACAGAGCCACAGGAAGTGGCACAGGAAGGTTAACACGGGACACCAAGCACAGGCCTGCTTCACAGAAGCGCAGCAGGCACAGGATGTGCTGCTGAGCCCCGCTTGGTATCGGCCTCGACATCTGTTAAGTGTGTATGACCTTCCTAGCCAGGTGGCGCCTCGGGAGCAGCTGTGATGCCCGTGGGCTGCACAGGCAAAGTGCGCAAGATGGAGAATCAGCAGGGAGGGAGGGTCCCCCACCAACAAGGACAGAAAAGGCCACTGACAGCTAGGAGAATTCCATGCACTCGGAGACAGCACAGCAGTCACCAAAAATGAAGTTTGTCAAAAAGGAGGCCCTTGGTTTCAAGAACTGCTCTCCTACAACACTCAAGGTCAGAGCCACTGCCTACCACCCAAGTGCGGCTAAGGACTGGCCACAACAGAGCCAGGCCACCCCAAAAAAGCGCACCCACGGGGCAAACAGGCCTCCTCGCTACAATTCCTTAGCACCTCCTGGCCCCTGTGAGCAAGGAGAGGCAGCTGCACCTGCCCAGAATTTGAACTCGACAGAGCCCAAATCAGGAGGAAAGCCCAGAGGGAAAGGCTCCAGCCCAGCCCACAGCCCAGAGCTGAAGGGAGGCAGGTAATTATGCAAGTGAGACACCAGGCATAGCTCACTGAAGCAGTCTG